GTAATTTTTTATATATTTTTTAACAAAATAAAAATAAAAATAATTTTAAATAAGATAGAAAAATTGAAATTTAAAATAATATATGAATTTATTAAAATTTATAAGTATAAAATATATTTAATATGAATATTTTTTTAATAAAAATAAATAAAAATCAAGTCATGCGGTTTAACTAGTAACCCACCGGTTCAACCTTTGACCCGCTGACCCAGTACCTTAACCGGTTCGATGACCGGTCCGGTTTTTAAAACTATGCCCGATACATATCTGACGGGTACGGATACGGGAACGGGAATGAGTTTGGCTCGCAGGGACGGGGACGGGTATCATGAAACCCGTACTCGCCCCGCCCTGTTGCCATCCCTAATTGTTAGGAAGTTACTAGTATATTTTAAAAAATTGAATGATTTTAGTAGCTTCTTTTACATGGACCAATTAAGTAAACACATGTTAATTAATGATGTCATGTCAATTTATTTTATTATATAATTTAAGCAAACACAAAATTTTCTGACCCTCTATACCTCTTAGCAATTCTTGAGTGTGGCCCACGACCCACCACTCAACTTATTCTCATATTCACTGTTTATCATCATCAAACACCCCATTCTCCACCTCATCCTGTCACCCTCTAGAAACTTGTAGAAATAATAGCATCCCTTGTGAAATGGAGTGACATGCACAGCACCCTGCCTTAGCCCCTACCTTCAAATAATAACATAGTGTCAGTCCCGTTCTCTCCTCCACTTGCCCCATTTGTGGCTTCAACTTCACCACAATAGAGTTAGTTTTGTTGGTTTTCATTGAGGACTCCATCTTTCTCTCTCTTTTTTATTTTTATTTTATTTTATTTTATTTTATTTATATTTGAATCCTTTTCTTTCATATTCTAGACACTATATTAGATTTGTCAAGTCTAGAGGAATGTAAGGTTTCTCATAGTCTTTCATAATCTCGATGGTGTTCACACTTCACAGTCTTCCTAAAATTCAAATTAATAAAAATTAATTTAATTAATTAGGATTTGAATTGATAACATTAATATTAAAATGTAAAATATAACATTGCAGAAATTGAATTGTGTACCAAAATGTGTTAAATATAACAGGGTATGTAGAAATTCTTTCATTATTATTGTTATTAATTTTATTATTTTTACTATTATGATATTATTATCGTTGTTATTAACATAATTGATAACAAATATTATTATTGTTGTCATTGTCACTATATTACTACTTATAACCATTATTACTATCATTGGGTTTATTAAATATAAATATATTTATAATAAGTTTTATATGCAAATAAATACTATGTTTAAATATATAAATTATATTTAAAACTTGTATAAATTAATATTTTTAATCATATATATTATATTTTAAATTTATAATAAATAATTTATAATATAATACAAGATTATTTTTATTTATTAGTAATTTATTT